CAGAGGTTCATCAACGGAATGCGGGACGTGTATACCAAGCGAGAGACGTACGCGAATCCTAAGCCAACATTTGCTGAAACTGTCTCGTATGCTCAGACGCGTGAAACGGCGGCGCTCCTAAGTAGACCAGCCTACAGAGCACATCGCGTGGAAGTGGAAACACCGGACGAGACAAATGAAATGCTGAAGAAGATTATCCAACTGCTGGGCGAGAAAAAGCATGGCTCTGGCAAATGTTTTAAATGTGGAAAGCCAGGCCACTTCGCCCGCGATTGCAGCGCAAGTTCCAGTGGGCTCAACAATTCAGCAGGACGCAAACGCAGGGCTGAAGGAGACGAAGCCAACTCCAATCAGTCGTTAAACTGAAACGAGCCAGCAGGAAGGGCCGCGTGCTGGCTCCAGAAGTTGAAGGGCCCATAATCTCCGTCTCACAAATTGGCCGGAATGCGAGCAACCTCACTATTGTTGGATGTGTGAATGGGCAGGAGAGAGTACTGACAGTGGATACTGGAGCGACACATTCCATTATTCGACCGGATTTGGCCACTTTTTATGTGAAGCCACTACCTGGAGCAAAGCTGCAGACTGCAACTGGTGAATGCACCCAAGTATTAGGAGAAGTACCATGCGAGGTAATAATCGACGATTGGGCCTCGTACACTAAGTTTATAGTGGCAGACATTGTGGATGAAGTCATCATCGGCGTGGATTTCTTACTTGGCCAAGGCATGAAGATTGACCTCCAGAGAATGATCCTGACAGATCGTCACAGGAAAGTGCCACTTAGGGTTGGTTACGACAGCCAGTGCTGCAGCAGACGGTTAGTCTTAGAGGAAGTGTCGAAGATTCCACCAGAAACGGAAGCGGTTAGTTGGGCGGAGTTTGGCAGTGATGGAGACGAAGTGGTTTCGTCAGGAGAAGGAAGCGGTTCACCGATACAGGAAAAGCGTGACGGTTCCGCTAGCTCAGTGAAGAAGAGGTCGCAACAAGGAAGTGGTCATGGCGAGCCAGGTAGTGTTTCCGGCAGGAGGAAAGCCACTGAACCACGCTGCAATGGTGATACGCCGGTGGCCGGAAATGGAAGCGGCTGTGGTAGCAGTAGGCGCGCTTTGAAGTGTCCTGAAAAAGGTGGTCGGCAAAAGCGAGCAGTTAAGCCGGATGCCAAGGGTGAGATTATACATGTCCGGTCAATGAAGTTAGCATCGGCGGAAGAGCGAGATACGAAACGACGGCGGAAGCTTCAGCGTAAGGATCCGGATGTAGCAAGATGTGCTAAAGGCAGTGCAGCACGAAGGCAGGAGCCTCGGTGTCATGGACAGAGGATGCGGCATAGATCTGGCGAAAAGGGTGCCAATGAGAAGAGACATGGTCTGGTCACCACCAGTGGCCGGCAGAAGCACGACCATGTGAGATGGTGCTCCACCGGAGATAAGCTGGAGGTAATGTCCAGTAACGCATCGAGCCGAGAGGAGCTACAGGAAGGGGATTCGGTGTTGTTGCACATGCCGCAGCCGAAGAACGGCTTTACCTCCGAACAACATCGTAACTGGAAAGTTCCGTATAGGATTGACAAACGGCTGAAGGACGCAGTGCATCGAATCCAGACAATGGGAAGACCGAGGACCAAGATGAAAGTGGTCCACTTGGAAAGACTTGCAGCGGTTGGAGCGGCAAGTGTGTCTGATCGGGACGATCAGACTTAGGTGGAGGGCAGTGTGGCGAATACTGCGGCAACACAAAGCGAACAACGAGAAATAGGCAGAATGTTCGAGGAATGACGTAGAATGTTCCACAAAGAGAAACGTCAAGTTGGATGAACACTGCGAACAGCGAGAAAAAGAGAATGAGCGATAAGCTTCAGAACGTTCTAGAGTTGCCATAAGTGTGAGCGCAGGTATATAAGAGCCACGACACAGCGGAGTTGAGTTAGTTACGAAGTTGCAAGTCAGCAAGCTACAAGTAAAGTGAGCAGAGAAGCGAATTGCGAATAAGCAAGCTATAAGTTTAATTGTGTGTAACAAGTTCAGTAAAGCGTTGTAATTGCCTTAACAAGTATTGTAGTATTTTTACTGTATTAGCAAGTATTGTAAAATTGTTTGTTGTACAATAAAGTTAATTGTACTACAATTCGGTCATCGTTAGCATTTATTTAACAATCCAGCGATACGAGCCCGAGTATATTTGGGAAATCCCTCAAGGTTTCGAGGATAATCGTAACAATATTAAACGAAAGAAGATACCGAAAAGCATTGAACAGTGCATACATCTCATAAGGAAAAGTGAATTATTACGAAATACTAATACAGTGGCAGCACTATAGCTATTTTGGAATCTCGCGTTTCGGCTCGCAAAGATTGTCAACTTCTTTTTAATAACAAAATAATCTATCTTAGGTTGATAAAACTATGTGTTTCTTTAATAAATAAGTTAAATTATATATTTTAATAGTGTTTAATGCAGCGTTTTTGCTGCAATTAAAATGCAACATTTAGCACTTTCGAACATATTTTTTCGAAGAGCGTTCATGCTATCGCATTTAGCAAATGTACATCATGGTCATGATGCAATATATGCAATAGGCGGCTATACTCAGATTTTTGCATCGTGACATTTTTTTTTCTCGAGAACACGAATTGATCTAGTAAAACTGAGCATGAGGCATTATTGGTATGGTCAACAGCTATGAAACCTGATATATGCGCACAAGAAGCCTATATGAAAGAGGGGGACAAAAGATCACACGTAAATGAATTCCTCTTTTTGGCCTGTACAATATAAGGGATAATTTTCTTATTGATACGGCTCATAAAAGGAATTATATAAGCCATATTGTTCTAGCTGGGTATTCATCAGCGCGAAAATTTTAAGCATATTATCATATTCCTGTGAATAAAAACACGCCTAATTTTATTATTTTAATTATCTACAATTTTATGAGACTACCAAGCCATATATATACCTATTCTGATAATCGGAACGCTGTTGAGAAGGCATACAATTTAGTACTTCTTCAACTAAAAGGCTTTTTTTTATTCCCGTTTATCTTGTACTTCCAAAATACAATATTGACCTAAGGTAGTTCGATTTCGAGCTGTCACAACGTACAACACCTTTCATTATTGCATCATGCATCATGGTAAATGTACATTTACGGGAGTTCGAAATCGTATGCTTTTGACAAACAGCCGTGTTCCAGTCGGTCATTCAGATCCGTATCTATTACGATCAATTCTCACGCAGAAGATAATGTGCAAAAAACCCTACTGAAAAGGAAAATTACATTTTAAACCAAAAATTAAATACAAAACATAACCGAACATTTGTTTGTGTATATATTCATTTGTCGGTGCTGTCAATTAAAATTTCCTCACTTAATTAGGAAACAAAACAAACAGATTTGATCACAAATTGATCCAGATTTCTATCAGCATCACATCGATGTTGAATTGGCGTAACTTTTCTTTATCCAAATAATGTAAAATAATAAATGAAATCTCGATCGGCGATCACTGAAACGCAGCTAGCCACTGTATACGCGAAAAAGGAATGTTGCCACTTTTTCTCATTAAACCATGTTCGAATCGTGGAAATTTTGGAAGATCACAGGGTTGCTTTTAGAATTTAGATTCTTAATGCAAAAATGGAGTTGCATTTAGTTGCATTTAGGTGACGAATTTTACGTACATTTAGAGTAGCATTTAGAGCTAAATGCGCTAAATGTGCTTTTACGCGTAAGCAAAAACAGCCCATAAAAAGTGAGAACAGGTGATTTAGTGAATCTTTGTCGGTGTAATTGCCCATAGAAAACAACGAAATTTAACAAAAGTTTTTTGTTCATAACTTTTAAATGGTTAATAATATTAGTTCCCCCCTCCGGATTATTATTAGGGGGGCCGAAACGCGTCGTTTGGTACCCCTCCCGACTTTTCCGCACCTTTTTTAGGGGTTGTTACCCCACCCTAGAGAATTACCGTTAGCCGATATATCCGGCAATGCACCTGCATATAATGAGGGAATAAAAGTTATTTAAACCAAATAAAGATAATTCACTAAGTTGCGCCCTCAATATCCAACATCTGTTTGACCTGATGAACGCGCTGGTACTTACTTCGCCGGCTATCATCGTGTTGCGTGCGCTCATATAACTTAATTTCTTGCCCCCAGGTTACGAGTTTGTCTGGAAATTGCGGAAACCAACTCAGTCCATGAATTGTGGCACTCATCATTGCTTTTTCCACTGTGCGTCTTAACTTTTTAATTGTTTACACATTTACCTCTTATCAATTAATCAGCTGTTGTCCATGAACGAAAGACACAAGATCACGCGGGACGGAAAGAACGAAAAAAGTTATTTTCTAGCTGCCGAAATCTCGACGCCATCTTTGCTGTAAGAAGTAAACAACGAAGAGAACGGAAAAAACCGCGAAATTGTTGAACGCATGAAAAATCATTTTTATTATGCAAATTCTTCTAAAAATCATGCCGTTGTGTTAAATTCTCTTTGTCTTATGTGTACACACGTTGTCACAAGCGAAAATGAAGAAAATTGCAGTAAAAAGCCACCACCAAATTGTAAACAACGAAGAAATGTAAATAAACGGCTAATGTCAAAATCGTTCAACTTTTTTCCTTAATGCGATTCTAACGGGCTAGTCTCCTGCCCGCGTGATCTTGTCTTTTTGGTTCATGGCTGTTGTCACTACGGAATCGGTTTGGGACCAAATGCACTACCGGAATCGGTTTGGGACCATATGCACTAACCGGATGTTTGGAAACTTCATTGCCACACGACGGAAATCGTGAGTGAATAACTACATTTTAGTGCAGTTTGGAAAATTAGCTGGGATAATATTCAAGAAAAATAACGACTCTACATTGTTTTTGAGCTGAAAAAGATTTATATCACCAAATAAAATTGCTTATTTTTATAACATAGCATCCACACAGGGTGATGCAACCCGCATTGAAGAATATAAGTGACAACTATTACCCGCTAGGTGGCACCATCAGCAACTGACGCTAAGCAAACATAGCAGAAATAGCGGTAGTTTTTAGTTTCTGCGCTTTCTGTTCGGTTTGTGAAAAATGTGATATTTCCGTTTAAAGGAGTTTCAAATCCGGTTTTCTGTTTAAATGTTTGCTCAATAGTAAGCTGGCTTTGCGAATGTTGTGAAATATAAGTGCGGGTAGAAGTTTAATATGCGAAATCAGAAGTTGTGTTGGGCGCAGTGAGTGCTTCAAAGTATTGTGCATTGAAGTGTTTGTTTTCATTTAATTGCTCTAAATAGGGTTTTAACCCATCATTAACCAATCTCTCTTGAAGAGAGTCTCTTTCTGTTATCAACTACAAAGATCACAAGTATCGAGCCACAGGGCTTCTCCGATTGATGCGCACTGGTAAGTTCACTCAAGCAAAATTTTTTATTGAAACATGTAGATATGTACATACCAAGTAAAAAATCGGGAATCGCTCTTAGCGGAAAGTTGTTCTAGAATGTCTAATACGGCTTTCCCACGCCACCCCAATTACGTATTTTGGTATCTCATTTGTAATTCGCATTCCAATTACCATTCGAATTACGTTATTCGCCACACAAAATTTTGGGAGCGAATTACCTCATTTGTTTGTAATTCAGATCGAATTACTATAATAGCAAGGCACGACCTTCACCCTAGGGTTGCCAAACGTACTATAATATATAGTATTGTACTATTTTTTCGGACTGCATACTATATACTATTGGAAAAAAATATAGTATGCAAAAATACTATATTTCCTGTATTATAAATATTAATATATTTCAGTAATTTGCAAAAAAATATTTATATTAAAATGGATGAGCTGTATCCTGAAGTAGAAATATTGAAAGAAATATTCTTTAAAATAAAAGGTCATACTGAGTTTATTAATAGAACCATAGATCAAAAATTGAAACATATTTAAAAACACTTAGAATGAATTACCAAATTTACTTAAAATTATTTCGTTCCTGCTCTCTATTCCTGCAACTTCGGCACTCACAGAAGAGTTCAAATGACGAAATGAGAGAAACAAAGCGACTACCTCACTAATAAAAATAAACTTTTGACTTATATTAATTTTGCGTTAAAGCATATGATACTTACAAAGAAATATAAAGAGGAAATGGATAAGAAAGAAAAAAGATGTACACTTAAAAAGCGTTTTATTTTTTTCTTTTAAATATAATACTTTATTTATTTGAGGTGTACTATATTTTTTCAGATGTTTTTGAAAAAGTACTATAAGTTTCTTAGAAAATTTTGGCAAACCTACTTCACCTATCTGTTCGGTGGGTGAAATCTTCTTCAACTGAAATTTAACGTGTTAAGAAATATTTCGCGAGTGGGTTGACTGAAAAAATCCTGGCCAGGATATTTTTAATTAAATATTTAAAAATAATTTTTTTTTTTAATTTTTCACTCATTTGTTTAATGAACAAATTAAATATATACCAATCGAAAGCATAAAGCCTATTGAATGTGTTAAACAGAGGAGTGAAAATTACTATTATTACCTACCTGTTCATACCTGCCAACCCGAAAAAATAGACAACCCAACGTTTTCACATTCTATAGGCTTAATACTTTCGCTTAGCTTTGAGCCAAATGTATATCTTCTATTCTATTCTATATATATAAAAGAGGATGTATGTATGTATGTATGTGTCTATGCAGCTTATAGACTTCGAAACCACTCAGAGGATTTTGTTAAAATTTCCAGGATAGCTTCATAGAAATCCGGAGAGTGTTCCTGTGAAGTTTGGCTATTTTTGAAAGAGTTGCCACCTGTCAGAAAAATAAAACTTATTTAAATACGCAAGTAAAGTATTACGATGTAGATATCAAATGGAAGGTATTTGGGAAAGATATTTAAGAAAATTTACATCAAAAAAATATTTTAATTAGTGTTGCCTTGCATTGAAAACCATCGACGGAGTAGAATATATAAACGTATATAGAATCGTGCTTTAAACTGGCCTTACTTGAGAATGATCAGAATTGGAATACAACTCTGACCGAATCATCCCTCAAGTGCCATCCAAAGCAAAATGCGAACTTTGTTTGCGATAATTTTAACAACATGCGCACCATCGAATCCTCGACAACTGTGGGAAATGCATCGTGAAAGCCTCAGTGAAGATATTCTAAGACAAGCACGTGCAAGCGATCCAAATCAAGAATATTCGGATGACATTTTCAATGAAGCTTTAATATTAATGGAGGACTTATGCATTTCAACAACAAAGCTCTTTGCCAACGCGGTATGCCAGCAGCGACACGAGATAGAAATGCTGTACAAGTTAGAGACTTGATGCGAGAACAGTAGTTCGATGCAAATCAGCTTGAACGATTTGTGCAAACACAAAAACAGTTTTAGTTGCTGATCAGAAAAAAAGCTTATGACAAAATCATGCAACGTGCAACCAAAAGAGATAGCGGAATTATCTTCCTAGATGCTCCAGGTGGTACCGGGAAAACTTTCCTCATCAATTTAATATCGGCGACAGTTCGAATGCGAAATGGGATTGCAGTAGAAATAGCATCATCGGGGATTGCATCAACACTACTTGATGGCGGACGTACAGCGCATTCAGCACTTAAGCATCCATTGAATTTGAACCAGACCGAAACACCTACATGCAACATCAGCATAAGCTTTGGTATGGCCATAGTCCTTAAAACGTGCAACATTATAATTTGGGACGAATGCACCATGGCACATAAGAAATCGCTCGAAGCACTTGACCAAACTCTTCGAGATTTTCGTGGAAACGACCAACCGAGAGGAGACGCTCTTGAACTCCTTGTAGGTGATTTTCGTCAAAGATTACCCGTATACCACGATCAACGCCTGCAGACGAGCTGAACGCGTGCTTAAAGGCATCGCGTCTGTGGAACTATGTCGAAAAAATTGCACTCACAACATATATGCGAGAGCATTTGCTGCAAGATACGTCTGCCCAAATATTTTCAAAGTAACTTTTTGATATCGGTAACGGTGAAGTTCCCATTGATCGCACAAAAATGAGATATCATTTCCTTCCAACTTTTGTGAAATGCAGCAGAGCATTCAAGACGTCTTCGACTGAGCATTTCCGAACTTAGCGATCAACTACCGAAATACGGAATGGCTCCGCGAACGTGGAATTTTATGTCCGAAGAACGATAATGTTAGTAAATTAAACAGACAAATTCAATTGAAAATTCCAGGAGAAGCAGTCGAATATAAATCGATTGATACAGTAATGGACAAAGATCAAGCTGTTAATTACCCAACTGAATTTCTTAATTCTTTGGAGCCACCAGTGATACTTATTCGGAACTTGAACGCGCCAAAACTGTGCAACGGAACCAGAGTGATAATAAAAATATTAACACCGAATTTGATCGAGGAACAATCATCAGCGGTAAATTCAAAGGCGAAGATGTGCTGATTCCACGTAAACCGATGATTTCCAACGACTTACCGTTCGAATTCAAGCGGCTTTAATTCCCTTTGTGTCCTGGCCTTTGTAATAACTATAAATAAAGCACAAGGGCAATCATTAACTATCGCGGGTTTGGATTTGAAAAATTCGTGCTTTTCACATGGCCAATTATACGTCGCCTGTTCACGAGTTGGGACACCACAAAATTTATATATTTACACAACAAATGAAAAAACTAAAAATATTGTTTATATCTTAGCATTAAAGTAAATAAAAAGGTATTCAATTTCAAAACTCTAAATACTTGTGTTTTTCTTTGGCGTAGCAACGCGCGCCGGGTATTGGTAGTTTTATATGTTTTTGTACATTTTGTTTATAGTTATATGGTACATATTTTTAGGCTTCGTTTTCTGCATAATAATCCCCACTCCAATTATAAAAGGAGTGACAAAATAAAATATTTAAATTTATCTATGTCGTTTCGATTAGAAAGGGTAAATTAGTTTGGTATTTTAATTACAGCGGCGCTGTGGTGTAGTGGTTAGCAGTGCGCGCTACCATTCCGCAGGGCCTGGGTTCAAGCGCGGTTCAACCCAACATCAAAAAAAATTTTTTTTTTTCTAATAGCGGTCGCCCTTCCGTAGGAAATAGAAAAGCTCCGAGTGTATTTCTGCCATGAGAAACAGCTTCACATAAAAATACAGCCGCCGTTTGGAGTCGGCATAAAACTGTACGTCCCTACCCTTTGTATAACAACATTGAGGCGCACGCCACAAACCGGAAAAGAAGCTCGGCCAAACACTACCATATGTGTAAGCGCCAATCTATTATTATTAAT